CCCCAAAACCCCAAAACCCCAAAACCCCAAAACCCCTAAATTAGGACAATTTATTGAAAATATTAGAGATAAAATTTTATATTAAATTAAATAATATGAAAGCTAATCAAGAGATTCATAACAAAGTTGCTTGGTATTTCAAGTGGTTGAAGACTCAGCGGAACAACAAACATATTGTCGAGCAAAGTATTTTCGTTAAATATCTAAGGACGTTAGAAATCCTGGAAATATTTTAAGGATGAATTGTGATCATTGCTATAGAAGAATCCCCCTTCAGGAATGTAAACTTGATGGATTTGAAGCTCCCTGTCAAATTTAGTAAATTAATTGGATATGTTTAGATGAGCTGAAAAATATGATTGCACATAATAAACACCTGAGAAAATAGTTCTAACTTGAGTATGACGACTGCAAAGTATATAAGAAAAGCCGGATCGGTTAGCAAAAAGAAAATAACTATTCTTCTTAAGTAAGCTGAGAGTTATATTTTAGGCGAAAGACCAAAAATAAGATCAAACATGCTCATCCTAAAACCAAGGATCACCCTAAATCGTTAAGGTAATTGTTTTCTAACCTAAAAGAAGCGAAAATATATTCTCTTGAAGTCTGGACAAGCCTGATCATAATAGCAGTTTATTTACTAGTGGACACAGATCTAAGAAATCAAAGAAGCGATATATGAGTAATACAACAAAATTTTGGCCTGAAAAGAATGAACCTGATTTGAAATTAGAGAAGGTAGTCCTACTCATTTATTTTAGGATCCACACAATGCTAGAGCAAATACAAGTCATTATAATGTTTCGACTAGTATAAAAAATAGCATAACTCGAAGAAGTTTTAAGAACAGTAATCTCAAGCTAAATAAAATAAGGATATCATTTCTTGATCTAAAAGGAAAGGATCTAAGCATGCCTTCTAAAAGATATAAGCATGATGAAAACAAAATGAATAAAACTTGAACCATATTTGGAGTGAGGAACTACTCTTTGAATACTCCAAATGCTCAAATTTATAAATTGATAGAGTCTTCAGATACGAGGAGAACAACTATGGAGCGATATAGACCAACACCTGACCAAAATATTACAGGAATCGAAGGTAAAAGTATTTTAACACAAAGCTCTGTTGAGCTTTCACCAGGAAATCAGAGATTAGGAATACAAAGAAAACCTCCAAAGTTACAACTCTCTAGCACTTCATATGGAAGGAAAAAAATTTAGGTAAATTTCAATCTAACTTCTCAGCTCAATAGAAATTGAACCAAAGAAAGCAAAATTTCCTGAGCTTGATGAATTCTTAAGGATGCAATACATATATTCTCAGGCGAGACAGAGGGTTAATGAAGAAAAGAATAGTAATTTCAGTTTCTGATCTATAGAAGATATTCCTAAAGAGGAAATTCCTACAGCAAAAGAAGTACTCCCGAGTCACAAAAAGAAGATAAGCATTAGTATAAAAACAAAATTGAGTGGAATTCACCCTGTTCTTCTAAAGAATGGTAAAATTTCTTAAACTAGAATATAGATAATTCAGTAGAAAGCAGCAAGGTAGACTTTACAAGCGTTAGACAACTATTTTTAAATTGATAGTTACGATACATCTTTGCTAAGTGTTAGAGAGAAAAACTTGTATTCTAGCAGTTAACTTTATTATTTCTTATTAAAGAAGATAAAGAGAACATGCCTTACAAGATTATATCGAACTAAAACCTGATCATTAACTATTCATTCAAAGGTCTCTTCTAAATAATAAAATTATCCAGGATTTGGTTTTGTCTGTTGTAACCTTGGATAATCTTCTTTAATTAGTAAAAATTATTAAGAATTCAACTACAAAATTAAATTGATGAATTCGAAGTTAAAGAATAAAATTCTTTAATAATTTAAGGTTGTAATTTTTAGCAAAGATGTTCTTCTTTACTCTTCATTATGTTCATAAATCATGCCCATATGTCAAGCTCCTTGCAGAATCTATATTCTCCTTTAATTGCCATTTTTTAATTTACACCTTGTTTATTATAACTTTGACTCTAGTTTTATAATGTAGAAGCTTCTACTGAGATAGACAAGCCTATCTCCGTTATAAGCAACCATGCAGGGTATGAAGAAAAGAAAATGCATTAAGTTTGAAGGAAATTCTTAAAAAGTATGAGCATTTTTATATTATTTTGCTATACACAATGTATTAAAAATGGCATGTTAATCAATGAGAATTTATATGATTACTTTTCTAAAAATACCTTCGATATCTCCAATAGCCAATTTTCACAATCTCTCTAGCAGGGCAGGAATATTAATTAAATTTTTCATAAAAGGTCTTAAACTCTTTAAACTTAAACCTTATTTCTCCTAGAACCTTTCTTAGTTTCCCTAAATTGTCTCTGGAATTTAATTGTTGATTCTTTTACCCTTTTCCAAATGCGCATTAACTCACCTATACCTTCCCTTAAGTAAATACTACTGCTGAGAACATGAGAAGCATCCGAATCTATCTCCCAAGAAAACTAAGCTCAAAGGAACTATTACAACGGCTGGAAGAGGAATAAGAGTGGTATTTTCCTAAAGGACTGAAATATCATTCAAGCCTTAACACTAACACTTTAAATGTTTTCTTTCAACCCACTTCACACGACCTAAATGTTCAAGCTCCTAATTAAAGATGTTGACTTCTAGCATTTAGTATACATAAATTTAAGAGGAAATTGTTAGTCAGATATTATTGGCTGAACTCATCGATCTCTCTGTAAAGCCAATAAGAGTCACAGATAAATCTTAAATTCAATTTATATCATAAAGCAGGGGTTTTGGGGTTTTGGGGTTTTGGGGTTTTGGGG